ATTTTTAAAATATTAGTATGCATTTTTGTAGTAAAACTGGTAAGGATATTAAAACTAATGAACTCGAATTCCTTCACTGAAACTTTACAGATATTTCAATTCAATCTATAACATAAGTTTTTTTTCAATTTATTTTGTAAGAAGAATACAACAGGAGAATACCTGATAGGACAAAGACACTTGTACCATCACACACGCCACTCCATTGTTCTAAAACCATGACGAAATGGAAAGTATACTACCTCAAGTAACATTTGGGAAGCCTTGATGTATCACCGTCCGGAATGGATCCATCACCACGGGGAATTAAGACATTTTCACCTAACCCATCCGCTGAAAGATCAAGAGGGTCTATGTCCGATCAGGGACAATCAGCCAATCAATCTGTCTCCAAATCCACTTCCGGCCGGAGTCAAACATTTACTTCGCCTACTGCGCCCGGTCTCTCGCCCTCTGCTAACCGGATTTATCTGCAAAGTCACTTTCCATTTTATTTACTATCGTCAAAGTCTTCAGCTTTTGTACCTGCGTATTTTGAAGTAATTAGTTTTGGAATTTAGCTATCTTTTATATGTTTTCTAGAATTATGAAATTGCGACAGACTAAAGAAGAAAAAAATATAGGAACTTATTTTGTGAGAAGACCGAAACTTTCGAAAATGTTAATTGGTTTATGTTAAAGTCTCGTTGTTCAATAATTTGTTATCAAATCAATATTGCTATTTTCCAAAAATGATATTTTGTTTGTATTAGCGCTTCCTTCGTTAAACTTCTACGACTGACGACAGAATCTAATGACTTTAGATATGACACTTAGCGTAGGGGTTCGAGGCTCGGAAGGGACGCAAATATAATCAAATACAGTACCATGCAAAATCATTTCAGCATTGAACATTTTTTCGTCCTTCGTTTGTTTCTTTGAAATATTTAAAAATGTAATGTAGTGGTCAGGAACCATGTTATAAAAATAGAAAATGAATTTTACGACAATGATTTTAAAAAAAAAAGAAAAAATATACTGATTGTGTGATGTCGGAACAACAACAAGGAACCGTCGCGAACCTGAGTCTTCGTGATAAACGATGGCTCTACCAACTTTGCCAATTAACACAAATCACTTTAAGATGAATAGGATACTGCTTTTAACTCATTTTCGAAATTTGATATATGCAATATTTACTTTCTATAATAACTGATGAGGGGAAAAACCATGTCACTTGCACTCCGCTTTGCGATCAAATTCCGGCACTTTGTTTTCGCGGAAATTTGCGAATACCTCCGTGTTGGCAGAAACCAGAGAACATCAGAAAAATACACCAATTGTAAACGGGACAATAGAAATATTTTCCCAAATTATTGTGACAGTAAAATACTTGTAAATGTTTCAGTGCCCATTGGGTGTGAACTCCACTGCGTACAACTTATTGAAATATCGTTGTGACACAGTAAAGAAAACACAGACTTGACTCAGCCATACTAACAATAGAAACTGTCGTTAAAGATAAACACCTCATTATTTAAGTAATTATCACAGATCACACGCTGTTTACAGATAAAAAAAATACCCTGGTAACCCAATAAACCAAATTTGATTCCCTCTTTCCCTTCCACGGACCATAAAGAAAATTAATAGATCTGATTTCACCTGAGTAAATTGTATGAATGCTCGGTATTGCCAGCCTTTTATGTAAACAGAGGCGTGTATACTAAGTTATACGTCTCTGGATGATGAAATGTATACATTAACAAAACGTATTAAAACTACAGACCATAAAGATGAGCACTAGTCGGGGATATTACGCCCCTGACAACACTAACAGTGTACACAAGTCTTATCACAATTTTTCTACACACAACGAACATGTAATAGAAATCAGCTAAGACCATTATGATCGATTAATTTTTTTCTCCGTTTCATCTCATCATTTATTCAATAACGTGCTTCTACAGCTATTAGGAAAAGGGGTTTCTTTTTCAATAGTTTATACAAGTTCACGATTTTTTATCAGATAGCAAACATACGAAACAACGACGATGATGATGGTTTCGACTCCGCATTTTGACAGCCTCGTTTCTACTGAACAGTTTTTATATAGTGACAATCTCTTTTATTTATTTATTTATTTATCTATTTATTTATTTCACGGATTTTACGTCCTCTATTACGGCCTCTCGGCCTTTCAGCGGACAAGAAAAGATATGAAAATGAATAAAAGGGAAAAATAGGAAGCGATTGGAGAGAGTGGCATACATATAGGCGAGGTAGAGAGGGACCGTCTATGCTATTGGCCTGTTCTAGAACTATAGTTTAGAATTAGATTAAATTAGAAGGTGGTCCCTTGACTTAATTGTAGAAATAGTATAACACTAAGACATCGAAGCAAGAGGGCATAGAGGAAGAGGAAGGGGGTCCAACACAAGATAAATTCCGATATATTGAGAGTATTTTGTAAGTTCGTCAAAATTAATATTTAATTAATTAATTAATAATTTAATAAATAAACCCTTATGTTAACCTTACCCTAACCTCTTATCCGGTATTATCACGCCAGGTCTTTAACGTGCGAGTTGGACATTCGAACATGGGTCACCATGTTGAGTCCCATCCGACGGACTGTGAGTTAAAGGTTAACTGTTAGTGAGGTACTTTGTTTTTGGTGTTCATGTGCCACACCATCTCGTTTCTACTGACCTGTCTTTGTAACTAACAGCCTCGTTTCTACTGGCCTGTCTTTGTGTATTGATAGTCTCGTTTCTACTGACCTGTCTTTGTAACTAACAGCCTCGTTTCTACTGGCCTGTATTTGTAACTAACAGCCTCGTTTCTACTGGCCTGTCTTTGTAACTAGCAGCCTCGTTTCTACTGGCCTGTATTTGTAACTAACAGCCTCGTTTCTACTGGCCTGTCTTTGTAACTAACAGCCTCGTTTCTACTGGCCTGTCTTTGTGTATTGACAGTCTCGTTTCTACTGGCCTGTCTTTGTAACTAACAGCCTCGTTTCTACTGGCCTGTCTTTGTAACTAACAGCCTCGTTTCTACTGGCCTGTCTTTGTAACTAACAGCCTCGTTTCTACTGGCCTATCTTTGTGTATTGACAGTCTCGTTTCTACTGGCCTGTCTTTGTAACTAACAGCCTCGTTTCTACTGGCCTGTCTTTGTAACTAACAGCCTCGTTTCTACTGGCCTGTCTTTGTAACTAACAGCCTCGTTTCTACTGGCCTGTCTTTGTAACTAACAGCCTCGTTTCTACTGGCCTGTCTTTGTGTATTGACAGTCTCGTTTCTACTGGCCTGTCTTTGTGTATTGACAGTCTCGTTTCTACTGACCTGTCTTTGTAACTAACAGTCTCTTTTCTACTGACCTGTCTCTTAAGTCTCTTTTCTACTGAGATTTATTTGAAACTGAGGAAACATGATAAATTGATGGTAATGTGAATTTATGCAACCAGTCTAAGATTTTTTTCTTTATACAAGCCTTTGTTGAGCTGAAATGAAAATTTAATGATGTCACAAATAACATTCAACTTAAAAAAATTTTAAAATGTTTTTATTACACGAAATATGACAGAAAAACTCCGTGTCCCATTTTACGTTACAATGACATCTTTGAATGTCTCACGTGACCCCGAATTAATATGGTATGACGGTATTGTTAATGTAAATATTCTTTGCAATGGTGACTCTAATATCTCTGTGGATGATAACCTTAGAATGGCCAAATCGGTCCAAACATTCCTAGGAAGGTCAGGAAGATTCACTTAAATTCTCTCTCCTCTCTCTCTCTCCCCCCCCCCCCCCCCTTTTTTTTCTCTCTCTCCCATTCTACATCCCTCTTTCTATTTCTCTTTCCCTATGCCATACCCTGTTCTTATTTCTCTGTCTCTTTCTTTATTCTTTGTCCACTTATACATTTTACATAAAAATGACTATTATAATAGTTTCATGTCACCACGTGATCATATTTATGTAAATGTTTATGTGTATGTTGTAGGAGAAGTCATTCATAAGTTGGTAAAACTTACTGACTAATCCTATTGTCAATGTCATTGTCAAAATATGTTTAAACTAAACTAAACCCCGAAATTAGCTATCTACCACAGTTGTAATATGCAAAAATATAACGTAGATACTGCGTAACAATTAAGGCGATCAATCACATAAGTAAGAATATGCAACGTTGGTCCTTAAAATGGCCGTTTATTTGCAATTATATACTTCATCATTTATTTTCAACAATTCCCCACGAAAATCTCACATGTGATCGGTTGGTTTTGCATTCATGGAGCCAACGTAAACCTGTCATGTAGAGTTCGGTTAGTAAGTATATAAGGTAGAGAGTAAGGCATGTATATTATGCGTTAAGAAGAATTACAGTTAAACATTCAAGACTAACGGACAGACACATACTCCTACCAGAATATCGCTTTGAAATCAGAAATCAGCAGGATTTTTTTCATCTCTTAAAAAAAATACTACCATTCTTTTCAATATTGTAGGAAAATCTTTTAGTTTTGTCGCAATTGTATTTACATATTACTGAAGAAGAATAAATGATCTTTCGTGATAACCAATGATATCTTATACTCATTTATTTGTTAAGTCCATGTAATGAATTATCTATCATTAAAACCAGCTTATAAAATCTATGATATGTGTGACAAGTCAACCGTTATTTTTCTAGCAGATTGGAAGAGTAAAATTAGTTTTTGGGTTTCCCCCCTTGGACAACCTAATAATCGCTTCGCATGACTGGTCACCAGCATAAACTTTACCTCTGACCTTTGCATTTTGGGGTCGCTTAAATCTCCCTATGTATTCAAAATTATGCGTAACGATATAAAGAAAACGTAACAGTGTTAGACGATTCTACACAGAATGTTGATAAATCAGTCAGACTTGATGAAAATTCTTCAAATCACAAAACGAAAGAATTATTATTTCTAGGCTTATAAGCGGCCATGTGACCCCTGACCTCAGATTCGACGTCAGTTAAACTGGAAAATGGCTCAGTCGAAGAACGATGCCAGGTTATCGCTGGAGATCCGGACAAAATCTGTGGAACAAACTCTCATTCCACTGGTCACACAGGTAGGCTGCTATAATATATCTCACTCATTTGACACGTGCATATAGTTTCAGCATCCGCGAGCAGGATGCAGTACGCCGGTGTTTGTCGTCCAATTGATTTAGTCATGATGCGGCTTGCGACAATGGACATATCTGATCGGTGCTGATATAGTGAACTTGAATTAATTTCTGAAAGGATGAACAATTTGTATGTTATACCATAGTCTAGCGCTATCAAATATTGTATATCTCTCTTGAAATTGAGAACAGTTCAGTAAACATGCAACAATATTATCATGGCCATGGGGTGGTTGACAGTTATTGATCAAGTTTAGTAATAAATTATACAATTCGACATAACAACATCTTGTACTTTACTTCTTCTTCGGCAGTTTTGTAACAAGTTGATAGTCATGTTATTCTGAAGTCATTATAAGACAGAAAGTACGGAGATGAAAAAGAAACAGATCATAACAGTTTGGATACTGCAGAGCTGTGTTGGAAGGTGGAGTCGTTTCTGATATTAGTCTAGTGTGATGGGTTCTGATCAGATCATGACTATTTTGATTTTGGACACAGTGTGCCAAAACAAAAAATAAAATCACAGATAGAGCTCTTTGAAATTAATTAATTAACTAGACTAGTACTTATATAAATACACGACTTCCTCATACCCCAGCTTGCACAAGAGATAATATCATAAAACCATAATGTTGTCAGACCTACAACAGCTGACATGGGACCAGCACTGTGATAAGGATGTATATTCCACTGTGTTTCAATAGGAATAGATAGAGAATCAGCAGAACTGGACACATTGACATTGTATGTAGAGTGTATATGTGTACACTTACTATAGCCTAGAATGTACGTTTAATAGCTATAGGCAGTAATAAATAAGACATCTAAGGTTGTATTACGTGCCCACACCTGTGTACTGAACTACATTTACCTGTCAGTGTCATCACCATGATTCTGAAGATTTACAATAGATTGATGTACAAGTCTACATCATCAACAAAAATCTAGATATCAACTAACTCAGTTTTTTATACAAATGTAACAAACACAGTAACAATAAATATGTTTTATTGTATACAACAGAAAATACAAATTTCTTGCATCTTGTACCATTTGGATCTACAGAATGTCTCTTTGCTTGATTGATTTAAGGTAAGACTAGTATATCAAGAGTCTGGGTTTTGATCCATTAGTGGAGACATTAAAATATGTAAAACCACTTTAAGGACAGCAGGAAGCACTGACTGAAATAATAAACATTTTTCCACAAGCATCCCTTAAAGTTGAGGACAAGTTCTTTCCTGGTGGAGAGGTATACAACCCTGATAATACTAGCTATGACGCATGATATAAGCCATACCACTCTGGGAGAGATAATGATTTTTTGCTGGAATGTCTTGATGTGGTCTTGATCAGTAGTGAGTAAGATCATATAGTAAACCAGAGGTTCTGTGTTCAATTCCTAATGGAGGCTTGCATTGACATAAATGACATTTGTAACATATTTCGCATCATTTTCTTTATATTGGTAATGTCAGTAGAATAAAGTTTCTTATAACACAAACAATAGTAGACATTTTGAAAATGAATCAACCAACTTTAGTGCATACAGGATAACAGCCATATAAGTTGGTCAATTCCTTACCATCTCGTACACTATATACGTCAGTGCTAGTATACTCCACATGGGTCATTTGTCTGATGAAGGTGCCAGTGTAGTCATCAAAACATCACACTCAAATCTTGTATTGGTTGTGTTGCAAGGAGTTTTATTCTATTGACATTTGTAACACATACAAAGCATAACATTTAGAAATTGCCCCAAACCATGGATGATTACATTAACTAATTGTATAATTATGTCTTGAATATGAAGAAAAAAATAATTTTTTTATCTGAAAGCTGATTAACAGACTTATAAAAGATTTCTGATGTTATTACACATGTCAAAAATTATGAGTTTTGAATTTCTATATTTCATTTTTAGATACATTGTAGTATAATTCAAATTTACACATTTATTTTTAAACTTTTTAAAAATTATGAAATTATGGAAATATGGTAGTGTTATCAATACTTAAGCAATATTGCATTTAAACTATGAAAAGGTTCTTTTATAAATACAAAACCTTCCAACACATCTACCTACCTAGTTTAAGCATTACTCTCTGTATATGTACATTAAGGCATTTATCATAATAATCAGACATCTGAGAGGATTTCTCAGCATATAACATAACACTGTTCAGATATTGTCCATGATTACCTAAATGATGAAAAGTGATGGAATATTTTCTGCTCTTAATGAAAATTTCCCCCCAAAAATTAGGATTGTAAGTGAAATATTAACTTAGATAATGTTCAAACGTAACACAAATGGTCTCTTTGTAGTTAATCATTAGTTTTTGATCATTTAAACCACCTTATCTCTATAATTAAATTTGAAGGGTGAAATGACCAGATGTTAAATGATGGGTTTTGTAGATCTTCTAAACGATAGTGGGAAGTAACAGAACAGTTTATAAATAATGGCTGTGTTTTTTACCAGCTTGGATAATTACTCTTAGCTAGGTTCTTTTCATACGCCCATCAGAAATTTTGACAGGATATCTACAGCTGTATATGATGTCATCCATCTGCACATCGATTATAAACTTATTTGTCCAGAGATCTCTTCCCACAATTTTGAACCAATTTCTTTCAAACTTGATAAGTGTTTTCTTGGACATCAGTTCCATTCCACAATTTTTCTAGGAGTAATTAGTGCTTTTTTTTTGTTATCAGCATTTTAATCATGTCCGCAGGTATCCTGTTGCAGCTTTTAACCAGTTTGAAAAAAAATTCCACTTATGATCTTGTTTGTATTTTCTCTTCCTCAAATTTCTGCCAATTTTGTTCATATCAAAATGACATGAAATTTATTGTCCTTTTTTCTGTGGTATATTGACTAGACAATTATTGTGGTTTCTCTGTGGTATATTGACCAGACAATTATTGTGGTTTCTCTGTGGTATATTGACTAGACAATTATTGTGGTTTCTCTGTGGTATATTGACTAGACAATTATTGTGGCTTCTCTGTGGTATATTGACTAGACATTTATTGTGGTATCTCTGTGGTATATTGACTAAACAGTCATTTTCATACATGTTCTTTCATTCACTTACACTACAGTAGAAATAGATAATTTAACCATATTTCTATTCAGCATGGAATGGACATAATGTATTTAGCCTGTGGTACTCTTGTTGATAATTTGCCTACCATTTTTGGAAAGCAATGTTTGTTTGATTGTTGTCTGTATAGAATTAAACCTTAAATGTCAAGTCACCATGGATTCCTAGTTCTAATAAATAGTGATGGATACAGAAATGATACACACTGTATACTGATAATGTCATGTTAAAGTGTTCATATATATGTGTGTGTTGAATTACTGTACAATTACTGGTAATAGTGACAACACTTAAGATTGTAAAGATATGTTGACTACTCAGTGTGACAGACTGTACACATTAACCTATACCTATTGGGATAATAGTTGATCAAGGTTGGTGACAATTTTCATATGAAGAGATAAAGGTGGCAGGCTAGTAGAACAGTTTAATTACAGGACATCGTTACTCTGACAAGATATGTACAGAGGGCAGGCTAGTGGAATAGTCTAATTACAGGGCATCTCTACTCTGACAAGATATGTACAGGGGGCAGGCTATTGGAATAGGCTAATTACATGACATATATCTACTCTGACAAGATATGTACAGGGGGCAGGCTAGTGGAATAGTCTAATTACAGGGCATCTCTACTCTGACAAGATATATACAGGAGGCAGGCTAGTGGAATAGTCTAATTACAGGGTATCTCTACTCTGACAAGATATGTACAGGGGGCAGGCTAGTGGAATAGTCTAATTACAGGGCATCTCTACTCTGACAAGATATGTACAGGGGGCAGGCTAGTGGAATAGTCTAATTACAGGGCATCTCTACTCTGACAAGATATGTACAGGGGGCAGGCTATTGGAATAGTCTTAACTACAGGACATCTCTACTCTGACAAGATGTGTACAGGGGGCAGGCTATTGGAATAGTCTTAACTACAGGACATCTCTACTCTGACAAGATATGTACAGGGGGCAGGCTAGTGGAATAGTCTAATTACAGGGCATCTCTACTCTGACAAGATATGTACAGGGGGCAGGCTATTGGAATAGTCTAATTACAGGGCATCTCTACTCTGACAAGATATGTACAGGGGGCAGGCTAGTGGAATAGTCTAATTACAGGGCATCTCTACTCTGACAAGATGTGTACAGGGGGCAGGCTATTGGAATAGTCTAATTACAGGGCATCTCTACTCTGACAAGATGTGTACAGGGGGCAGGCTAGTGGAATAGGCTAATTACAGGGCATCTCTACTCTGACAAGATATATACAGGAGGCAGGCTAGTGGAATAGTCTAATTACAGGGCATCTCTACGCTGACAAGATGTGTACAGGGGGCAGGCTAGTGGAATAGGCTAATTACATGACATATATCTACTCTGACAAGATATGTACAGAGGGCAGGCTAGTGGAATAGTCTAATTACAGGGAATCTCTACTCTGACAAGATATATACAGGAGGCAGGCTAGTGGAATAGGCTAATTACAGGGCATCTCTACTCTGACAAGATATGTACAGGGGGCAGGTTAGTGGAATAGCCAAATTACAGGGCATCTCTACTCTGACAAGATATGTACAGGGGGCAGGCTAGTGGAATAGGCTAATTACATGACATATATCTATTCTGACAAGATATGTACAGAGGGCAGGCTTGTGGAATAGTCTAATTACAGGGAATCTCTACTCTGACAAGATATGTACAGGGGGCAGGCTAGTGGAATAGTCAAATTACAGGGCATCTCTACTCTGACAAGATATGTACAGGGGGCAGGCTAGTGGAATAGTCAAATTACAGGGCATCTCTACTCTGACAAGATATGTACAGGGGGCAG